GGTAGTCAATCTTTATGTGTTTGCTGCGGTCATGTTGAATGGGGTTGACAGCTAGGTAGGAGGCAGAGACATTGTCACAATGCAATTGAACAGGAGCCGAAATTAAGATCCCCATATCCACAAGAAGAGACCGAATAAATAAGGTATCCTGAACAGTGTAAGCTATGGCCCTGTATTCAGCTTCAGTGGAAGATTTTGAAACCGTCGGTTGCTTCTTGGATCGCCACGAAATAAGATTCGTGCCTAGGAAAATAGCATAACCTGTGGTGGAACGAGAGCTGTCAGGGCATCCTGCCCAATCAGCATCTGAATAAGCCACAATAACAGAGATATTTTTGTCGGACCGCAGCCATAAACCATGCTTGGAAGTGCCCTGTAAATACCTGTAAATTCTCTTCACAGCTAATAAATGTGAGGTGCGGGGAGCATGCATAAACTGAGAGACCATGTGAACAGCATAAGTAATATCAGGTCTAGTGAGAGTCAAATACTGAAGAGCACCTACCATGCTGCGATACTCAGTAGCATCAGATAAAAGCTCCCCATCTGTAAGAGAAAGTGTAGTACGAGAAGGTAGGGGTGTGCGTACAGGCTTAACAGTATGTAAATGAAAACGTCGTAATAAGTCAGTAATGTATTTTTCCTGAGAAATAAATAACCCCTGAGAATTACGACGAGCCTGAATACCCAGAAAATAATGAATATCCCCCAAATCCTTCATAGCAAATTGCTGAGATAAGGTATCAATAATAGAGCGAACAAATGAGAAAGAAGACCCGGTAATCAAAATCTGAGGTTTTTGGGACTAAGACTGAGATGTTGTTGTTGTATCTCTAAAAATGTTGATTGGTGGTTCATAGATTCTAATTGATATCATTATTGTTTCTGGAATTCTTTTAAGTTTCTTGACACTCAAAAAGTTTGAGAATGTGCACTTATAATTAAAATTATGCACTACCTTAGTCCCCAAATACTACTTAGCAATCTCTCAAAGTTTGGTACATTTTTTATACATTTTTAATATAAAGTTATCCTTATACTATATTTACTTTATTACGCACTTCAAATGTGAAAAAATGACCGTTGCACCTTTTTAAGAACATGATTTTTTTACAAAGTGCGCTTTGAGTGAAATTGGAAAGTTTTGGATTGGAAAAGCCTTCCCAATTGCGATTGAGCTCGTGTGATGACTCTGTTTTCTGACTTATCAAACTTATTAGTTAACTTTTTCATCAAAGTAGGGTTAAAATTACTTTTGTATTTGTATTAATTGAAATTATTGTAAAGGATCATTTTAGCTATTTTCATACGGAGTATTTTTTTCTTTATTTATTAATAATAAAAAATTATTTTTTTGTCATAAATCAGTAGAATCAGTCAATCCAAAGTTCAGTTAGAACATCATAAATTTCAGCAGAATGAACCGATCCAACCAATTCCAATGTTAGTACCAAATTATGTGTCATCATCTCAATTATTTTGGTGACATAAAAAAATTTACTCATGAATACTTTAAAAAACTATTTTTTAAAATCATGAATATGAATATGAATTTATGCAATGAATTCATTTAACTCTATAAGTTAATGTTTCTAAATAAAGGTAAGATGTGTTTAATAGTTCCAAGCGGCCAACTTCTTAATAAGATTATTGACCTAAAATAGAATCGCATAACCTGTGGTATTGATTTTTCGATATTTAAACTGCACCCATAAAACTTTAATAATATCACTATACTTGAAACTCAAATTTTCATAAATCATCATATGGATCATACTATATGTGAGTAACATATCAATTATATAGACATTATTCATACTTACTCAATTATCTTAATTAGAAATATAGAATATAATGACATATTTTAATCCATAGATATATGCATCTTTCTTATTAAATATCTAAAAAGTTGACATTCAAAATAAAATTATTGATATTCATACATTTTTAAATTGAAAAAAAAAATTTAAAATAAGATTTTTTTTATCTTCATTAAAAATAAGATTTTCAAAACGATACTTAGTTTACATTTGTAACTTAAGTTAATTTATAATAGCTTTTTATTAATCATAATATCCCACCATATATGCATTACAAAGAATGCTCAAAATATTATCTCTCGCATTTCAAAGGATAGATTCCTAAAATGGGGAAAAAGATGAAACATCATTAAATGAAAGTGAAAGGATTAAAATAGCAAGACTGCATGTGTTAAAATTGGGTACATACGCATTTTCCTGAATAATATATCAATATTATGTTCACCTTTCTAATTAAGGATAATTACAATTGGAATCGAATTTTATCTCATTTATGAAAGTAAAAGTTATTTTTTATTTGTGTATATATTAATATAATTTTGATATATTTTGGCCGAGGATTTCAGCTCTCAAAAAGTTTTATTAATTACATACTACTTATGTCATGATTACTTACACAATAATTAAATATGATAATTTGACTATATTTTACAAAATAATTGTGATGATTATATAATATGATGGGGGGTCCTTGATGATAACTGTGATGTTGTAGATATTTTATTTTTAAGGCTAAAGAGTCAAATAGGTCTTCGAACTAACTTAAAATTTGCAAATCACCCCTTATATAGGAGGCCGTCGCCATTAAGGACGGTTCCCGGTGGAATTTTTGATGAAATTTTTTAAGCATTTTCTTCAATTTTTTATACATTTTTTTTAAAGTTACCCTTATACCCTCTTACTTTATTACGCTCTTCAAATGTGAAAAATTGACCGTTGCAGTTTTTTAAGAACATGTTTTTTAGAAAGTGCACTTTGAGTGCAATTGGAAAGTTTTGGAGAAGCCTTCCCGATTGCAATTGAGCCTGTTTGATGACTCTATTTTTTGACTTATCAAACTTATTAGTCAAATTTTTCTAGTAGTTGAAGTTATTGTAAAGGATTATTTTAACTATTTTCATACGTTTTTCTTTATTTAATTAATAAATTTTTTCTTTATCTATAAATAATACGTAGTTGTTGACATTTTAGAAAGCTTTTACATCAATTGTGACTTTCAAGGAATTCTAATTTTGTTAAATTGTAATCAAACGTGGATTCCTAATTTCTAGGAATCCTAATTGAATCGAGCAAAAAAAAGGAATCCTAATTGTAATTAAATTGTAATCTACAAATAAGTTTTTGAGAATTAGGAATTCTAATTGTAATCTACGAATAAGGGTTAGGAGTTCTAAATAGATATATTTCTTAAAGTGTTGAATTATTTTTCAAAATAGATATAAAAAACAGTTAAATTATTTTTTTATTTTTATATATTCAATATTGGTCTCATATGAAAGATAATAAAAAGTTATAAAATATGGTATATTTTTTGTAACCATCAAAGTACAAATAAAAAAGTTATAGCACTTTAAAATAAAATTGAGGTTTAATTTTTAACTTACCCAACTTTAGGACGTGATGAAGTGTAACCTACCTTTAATACTAATTAACGGAAGTATAATTTATTTACTAAAATGGAAAGAAAATCTAAAATATTATAATGAAAGTTTGCTTAGAAGATGACACATGGCAAAACTTTCCCTAATTGTATCTTTCAAATGTATTATCTATAGATATATTACAAATACTTGTCAAAGTGTCATTGTATTATGTAAGCTGTAATGTTGTAGCTTTGTTTTCTTTATAATTTGAACTGTTTGCTCAATAAGGAGCCTGTCACATGCTCCTTAAAATTTCTGTCATTTAGCAAATTGGTAGCTGTATTAGAATAGCCCAACATTTAACTCTACGGTCTTGTGTAAGCTAACCGTCCAACGGGCCGAGCTACCCTCATGGAGTTATGAGAACCCATTTATGATTTTGGACAGTCCAATTTCGGGCTCAGGGAGTATTCAAAAGACTGGCCGGTCTGTTTGTTTGTTAGGATAATTGACTGCTTTTGTGTCGTGAGTTTGAGAAGTGGATCCACCAATGTGTGATGAGGAGGCAAACAGCCACCGCCTTGGCCGCTTCGAAGCAAGGCCCCGGCTGACCCCGGCCATCCGCCGCCGTGACGACTCAGAATTTGACGAGGAGGCTGCGATATTTGGGCCAGCCTCGGGGTTCAGGCCGGCGAAAGTGGTGTACCCAGGCGTGTCCACGTTCTGCCCGTGTGCAGCTGTGATGAAGTACCTGGCCCAATCGATGGACGCTAGGATGGACGGATTGCTGCATGGGGTGGGTCCCCCCCCCTATACCCAGATTTACCTTTCCAGGGGCGGAGCTAGGGGGTGCCCAGGCTAGGCCCTGGCCCACCCCAAATTTGAAAAAATGTCAATTTTTTTAGTGTAAAAAATTTCGTGTAAATTTTTTTCTAATAATATTCTTTGTACCGGCCCAGTCTAGCCCAGTGTCCTGGCTACGCCCCTGTACCTTTCCATGCTCTTCTACATGAGGGCTATGCATTCTGCCGGCCTTTCCACACACCACTTGAGCAATATCCTTCACTGCTACCCTCCTCGAAACCTTTGGGTTCCAGGTTCTTTCAGTTCTTAATTTCATTGTACGTCAAATATATTTCCTAAAGTCGAAACGTGAATTTATATTTTCCCCATTTCCACTTTTATACCAACTCGCATGGTTGTTAAGACCTGAAGTTCCATCGTCAACCTGTTAGCAGGAGTAGCCCATGTGTTAATATAGCACTTCGTTCATTCAAACTTTTTCGGTATGAGACATTTAAGGATGGTTAACCTGGAAGAAACCTACCATATTCTACGTGAATTTATATTTTCCCCATTTCCACTTTTATCCCACTTTTAAAGGTTGACGAGGTCTGAATCGAGTGTTCTTTTAAGCAATTTATAAGTACTCATGTTTGTACATTTATGTATATTTTCATTTTATTTGGAGCAGTTTTTCAAAATAAGACTAACTCAATATTATAATACCGAGTAATATTGAGACAGGAAAGAGTGACGCGATCATTAAGTTAAATGAGTTTATGTGGTTGAAATTAATTGATAAAGTAAAAATAAAGTAAGAATTATTTAGAGCCACACAAACTTTACCAAATTTGGAATGAGACCATTTAGTGAGATTTTCTGAAAATATAAAATGAGACAATATTAGCGGGACGGGTGAAGTAATATCATGTTCTTACTTGCTCTAATCTTGTCTATTCTATTAGATGCCTGATTTCTGTATATTTTAAAAGAAATAATTACATAAATATGACCAAAATAGAGATGGTTTACAAAAATATGATTAGTTACTAGAGTAGTAATGAAATCATAGTAATTTATGTTCAACTTTTGAACTTAAGTTACCACAACACTACTTCATAGTAATGAATAGTCATATTTATGTAAATAAGTTTTATTTAATAATATTCTTGTAAAAACCTCATTTTAAAATTGTCGAAATCTAATCTGATTTGATAGAATATAGTATTTATAACCGTCGAGGTTTGATTTGATTCCGTCTAATTTGAATAAGCGCAGGTAAAAATACCTGCCAGCCCATTGTATTTTTTTTTTTCAAAATTGAACTCATTGCTCTGAAATAAGAATTTTTTATTACTCCCTCCGGTTTTTATTAAACTTCACACTTTGACTTCACACAAAATAAGAAAAGAAATTTGACTTTACTGTAGAGTACATTGTTGATGCACTGTTTGACACTGTTTGGCACTGTTGAGCCATTGTTTGGCACTGTTGAGACACTGTTTGGCACTGTTTGACACTGTTTTGATGTAGATTTCTTTGTCAAAAAAGGAAATAAGGAAGTGTGAAGTTTATTTTAGACCGTCCCAAAAAGGAAAGTGTGAAGTTTAATAAAAACCGGAGGAAGTATATTTTTGAAATGAAATAAAACAAAAAAAAGGGAATTACCTTCATTCCTAAGTATTCAGGTCCGCTGGTCCAACTCTTCAAGAACCTGGCGTCTTTTTGGCCGTCTAGTGGACAGTTCGGAAACGTGACCCCTGCGCTTCCCAAGAGACCAGGAAAAACAGATACTGTTTCCATGCTCCGCACCACACCCACCTCCCCAACATCTCTCTCTTCATCTCCCGCTTACACTCTGTTTGCGCTGTCGCCGCCGCCACGGACGACACCAAGCAATGGTCGTCGACGTCGTCATTTATTAGCCACGCCGATGGCCCTGCTCGCTGTGCGACCCTCTACGGCCGGCCTTGTGACCATGCCGACCCCGAAGCCCGTAATATGCTTTCCCCCGGAGCTCAGTTCGTCCTCGCCGGCAGGTTGAAGCTGTGGAAAAACGCTGCCTATCAACTTCAACAGAATGGTATCCCTCCCGATTTGGACCTCAATAAAGACGAGGTTAGTAATTCATAGACCAATTATTTGACAGGGTTTTGACAAGGTTGATTAGAGTGTCCTTGAAGGCATACACTTAATAATTTGCACTTGTAAGTCATGTGTGACTGTAATTCCGTGTCGTGATTCCCGTGAACAAGTTCCTTTAGGATGAGTCAGTCATTCGAGCCTGACCTTGTGAACAATTTTGACAATACTTTTTGGTGTTGTTCGTTTCATTCAAGATTTACAGTATAAAAATGCAACAATATCAATAATTTAGGTATTGTTTATGCATTTTAACCGCTTAATTCTTATCTTTAATTAAACCCTAGTGTACCACCAACATACTGACAAGGTATTCATGAAGCATCACCCTTAAACTCTTTCCAACTCCATTTTAACTTTTCCTAATGTGATTATTGTGCATATTATTCTTTGCATTATATGATTTGTAAGGCAACTTATCGTTTATTTGTATGTATGTGTGTATATATAGAGAGAAAAGATCAGAAATGAGAAGTGAGAAGTAATCTCAGCCCTTGGATTTGCATCTGATCTTACAACGCAGTAAACTTATAGACTAAATATAGGAACTTATAACCAATAAATCATAACTTATAAAGCTCTCCATAATAATTACGAAAATGGCACCGCGTCAAAAAAAATTCCAGGTTTCCGTAACTTTTTTTAGCAATGGCATTTTTGTAATTATTTTTGAGGGCTCTATAAGTTATGATTTATTGGTTAAAAGTTTCTATATTTAGTTTAACTTCGCAGTTCTCAGCCTAAGAGCACTTCTCACCTGATCCGCTCCCTATATATATATATATATATATATATAGAGAAATCATCATGTCAGGCCGGCCTGACGGGCTGCCCCGTCCGGCCGAGCCTGTTTGGGCACCTTCCCGGTGGAATTTTTTGATGAAATTTTTTGAGCATGTTCCTCATCGAGTCTAGTTTGTCCATACCAAATTTCAGCTCAAAATTCGATCGGGAAGGTCGTCAAATGATTTTTGCAAGTTAACTGGTCCGGAAAATACATATTCCGGACCAGTTAACTTGCAAAAATCATTTGACGACCTTCCCGATCGAATTTTGAGCTGAAATTTGGTATGGACAAACTAGACTTGATGAGGAACATGCTCAAAAAATTTCATCAAAAAATTCCACCGGGAAGGTGCCCAAACGGGCTCGGCCGGACGGGGCAGCCCGTCAGGCCGGCCTGATGAGAAGAGCTCTCTCTCTATATATATATATATACACACACACACACACACACACAAATATTCCTGTCCGGAATTTCCGGACAGGAACCCCGTCCGGAATATCCAAACAGGAACCCCGTCCGGCCTCCTCCATTTGGGGGCCTTCCCGGTGGTATTTTTTGCTCAATTTTTTTGTGTATGTTCCTCATCAAGTCTAGTTCATTCATACCAAATTTCAGCAAAAAATTCAATCGGAAAGGTCGTCAAATGATTTTTGCAAGTTAACTGGTCCGGAATATGTATTTTCTGGACCAGTTAACTTGCAAAAATGATTTGACAACCTTCCCGATTGAATTTTTTGCTCAAATTTGGTATGGATGAACTAGACTTAATGAGGAACATACACAAAAAAATTGAGCAAAAAATACCAGGGAAGGCACTCCTGGTATATATGCTCCTGTCTGGAAATTCCGGACAGGAATAGCACTCTATATATATATATATATATATATATATATACACATACATACATACTCGGTGTATATTATAAAGGGAAACAAACCCAATGTCTTTTCATATGACTAAAAATGCATATGACTACATATGGCCACCTACGATTAATGGTTATTTAGAAGATACAACATTGGTGGTTTAAGAAACAAAGAGATACATCGTAGCTGGGGGGATTTTATCTTTTTGATAACATTCTTTGGAACTTTGGATATATTTCAAAACAACTACTACGTATTACATTTTTGTATTAACATTAATTTTCCTTCATTATCCATGTAAATGAATAGATTCATATACAAATTATTAACAGTAGATTTATCTAAAGAAAAAAAATAATGTTTGCTTAATTTGGCAATATTCTAAATTTGCCAAAAATACAAAACACAATTCGTTAAAAATGAAAAAAAGTAGAGTTTTAAAAGGAGGAGATGGTTCAATGTACACATTGAATAGTGTCATATACTTTGAAGTACCATAATCCCATCCATCGCAAATTACTCATACCAAGGGCCTCCATTGAAGCTGTCAGTTATAGCCGCCCTTAATTACATAGAGAATAGAAGGAATTTTGTGCACTTCTATTATTACGCGCTTGTATTATTAGAAGTTTACAACACAAATAAGAGGGTGTTGTAATATTCCAGGCAGAGGAAAGGAACGAATATTCTCCGGCCTGACCTACATTGAGAGGTATAGTATTATATCATTAAGGTTGATGTGGGTTTGTGACCCTCCTCATGTTTGGAAGTTTATAAAATTGGAAGGGAGGACTTTGAAGGGCTTTTGTAACCCTCCAAACCTCTCTAAATGCTCAATTTTTAAGTTCACTAACGAATGATAATTTATGCTCAATTAAAAATAAATATCTATTCAATTATTTGAATACATCATATCTCTTAAGTCTATGCAAATGCATAAATGAATGCAGCACTGATAGTACATAATATATTTACATTTTTGTACAAGGGCTGTTTCATGGAAGTCATTATTGCAAAAGTGGCTCGCTCTATCTACAATAGAAGGAGAGCTTATTGTTGCAGAGTGTACTGCTACTACAGAATAACAACAACAACAACATCCAAGCCTTAGTCCCAAAAGATATTGGGGTCGGCTAACATGAATCGATACATGATATCACCACCAAAAGGAAAAGAAAGAAAATAAAGATTAAAAAAATAAGCTAATATAAAAAGATAATATAAAACGAGATGAGTATACCTAAAAATGATAAAATAAAAAGAACAAAAAAAATGTTTATATATATAAGGATAAAAGAATAAAAAAAAAAGAAAAAAAATGAGGGGGAAAAATAATACGAGATCACTCCTCCACACGAACACCCGCCCTCCACCTTGCTCTCTCCAAAACCATACCCTCATCCGACCCAAGAAAAAGCATATCACTTCGGACTCCCCTAACCCACGTCTATTTGGTCTTTCTCTCCCTCTCTTCCCTGCCTCTTCTCCACACATCTCAACACGTCTGATAGGTGCATCACTCGGTCTTCTACGCACATGACCAAACCACCGTAGGCGAGACTCCTGCATCTTGTCTTCAATAGGTGCTACTCCCACCCTTTGTCTGATTGTCTCATTTCGCACGTGGTCCTTCCTAGTATGCCCACACATCCAACGCAACATGCGCATCTCTGTCACACTCATCTTTTGAATGTGACCTTGTTTCACTGCCCAACACTCTACGCCATACAGCAATGCAGGCCTAATTGCTGTCCTATAAAATTTACCCTTCAGTCTAGTGGGCATACCTCTATCACATAGAAATCCTGACGCACTCTTCCACTTCATCCACCCTGTTCTGATTCTATGGGATACATCTCCATCTAGCTCACCGTCCTTCTGAATTATGGAGCCCAAGTAACGGAACATATCACTGACTGGTATCTCCTTACCATCTAGAGTAATTCTACTATTACCACTGCTTCTACCTTCACCAAACTTGCACTCCATGTACTCTGTCTTGTTCCGACTTAGTCTGAAACTCTTGTTCTCCAATGTCTGTCGCCATACTTCTAACTTTGCTTTAAGACCTGATTGCGTCTCATCAATCAATACAATATCGTCAGCAAACATCATGCACCACGGTATTTCGTCTTGAATTGCCTTAGTAAGTTCATCCATGACAATGGCAAATAAGAAAGAGCTCATAGCCGATCCTTGGTGCACTCCGATAGTAATAGGGAACTCCGCAGTCCTTCCTACATTAATACGAACACTTGTAGTACAATCCTCATACATATCCATGATGATGCTGATATACTTGCGTGATATGCCTTTTCTAGTTAAGGCCCACCAAATAACTTCTCGAGGTACCCTATCATAAGTCTTTTCTAAGTCAATGAACACCAAATGCAGATCCTTGTGAGCGTCTCTATACTGCTACCACAGAATGTAGTAACAAAATGTTGTGACTTAACTGCAATCTGTGTGAACTTGAACTCAATCAAAAGAAGTGAAATGATACTATCATAGTCAAAGTGTTATAGACTTGAGTAAGAATTATGTGTATTACTCTAGTACAAAGCATCTTGATCGTCGTGGCATTGGGTATGTAAGACAATGGATTAAAAAGTGTTGAAATTTGTTAATTAAGATCACCATGAAGAAGAGTTGAGCATGACAAAGGTGATCACAAGAAATAAGCTAGAGCTCGAAGAGACATAAGCGGGATCGGAACGGACTATGTACAGTATCGTTAGACCTTCTCATACAAGAACTTCACATCTTAAGTATTACGTAGTATCTTCTTTTAATGACTTTTTCCACCTCTAAAATACAAATTTGTACATTTCTACCTCTTCTCTCTTTTTAAAATGAGAGAAAAGAACAAAGAATTAACTGAGTCTTTGTAAGTTCATGGCAGGATATTTGTGTGAGGCGTCTGTAGTTACCTAAAAAAGAAAAGGTCTTAGATCGGTGAGATGTTTGTGGTGATGACTATTGTCCTCGGTATGGAACCAAGTTTACTTGAGTATTCCATATTTCTATACCCAATTTCTCTTTTTACAAATACTCTGTACTAAATGCATACTACTATAGTACACTTTTATTTGATTTGTTTCTTACATAGATAAAATGATACCCATAGTAGGTTGCAGATACTTGGACTGCTGCATTAAAGTTAGATACCTCAGATGTTTGGTTCTCCCATGTGGCCGCCATGATGGGAAAGTACTGCAAATTCTGGAGGGGCTCCGCCTCGCTAGCTGATTGCTCTCCCAACTCCTCCGCCACCGGAAGTGTAAAATGTATAATGACAGGTGAGCGTTCAAGCATCTTTGACTCTGTCCAGTGGGTTTGCTCGACCGACGCCCTCAACCCCACTCCCCAGAATGCAGGACACTATCGTCTTCGAACTTATCGGGATCTGGTCGTCTCTGCTTCCACTGCTGTCGGGGATATCGCGGATGCTCATGTGCATGCTGCTCTCACTTATTACTTGAACCTGAGCCCTAACTCCATTGAATTTCACAGTCTGACTGCCGGAGAGTTCTGGAAAATAGTGCCTGATGTTTGGTCTGGATCTCACTTCTCAACACTCGCCGGAGTGATTTCATCGATCGACCGTCACTACCACAGTGAGACACCTGAATAATGGAACACTTGGATGTTAGTTCTCTATATACTATTATTCTTCTTCTGTTGCTGATGAATATAACATGATTTTGCGGTGTGTTTTTATGAGGGAAAATACACACTTTTTGTCCACATTTCATTCACGCGTGTATCAGTGCATCTACAAGTTATTTTTTTGTTCGTGAATAGTCTCTTCATTAACGGTTTAATATTTAATAGGAGTTGTTAATGGAGAAACAAATTAAAATAATTTAGTTTAGTATTCTTTATGAACATCAATGTTATTAGTTTTTTAATTTGCACAAATAAGTAATGGAACAATTCAATGATTTAAGCTAGACTAATAATACTCCTACTCAAAAGTAGATAATTTTTTTGTAAAATTCATTTTGAATAGTTAAAAAACTACTCCGTATTTCGTTTTTGTAAAATATTAAGAATTACCATGAACACTAGGGGAAAATATATCAAATAAAATGAAGTGAATCAGAATATACGTAGTAAAAGCTTGTGGCACATTAAAAGTACACAACTCATTTAGTTTTTCAACATGGACTAGTTGAGATGATTGAAATCGTCGGACGGATGGGCATATCGTCTGACAATAGACAAGTTCTGACTTCTGAGGAGCTGGAATACGGTACCCTTGAATTTGTTTAATTTTAGTCTATTATTTTCCTTTACATATTGTCATCACTTCCATGACGAGATAGACCAGACGAGATGATTGAAATCATCGGACGGGGGGCATATCGTCTGACGATAGACGGGTTCTGAGAAACCGCAGTATGGTAACCTTAAAGTGTTTCATTTTTATTTTATTACTTTCCTTTACTTATGAACGACCACTAACTTGAGCATCGGAGGGTCATTGGCTTCTAGCCAACGGCCGACGTTAGTGAATTCTTTTTGCAAAGGAACATTCAATGATGGACGAGACGATGACGCCACACATGTCGTACAAAGCCTTACCAATATGTCAAAACATAAATGACATGGGCTTACATAATTCTGGGGGGTTCAATTTTCATGCATGTCTTATAAACACATGAGTGAAAACCCCATTGATTCTCTGCAATGTTTTGGCCAAAACTATACATAAAAACACATCACAGTTGACGTCGACACAAATGACATCGATGCAAACCTTAAACATTCATGCTTAGGTTTGACAATTTTTGCAGAATACAGTCACTCTTGGAGCCAAACTGGACATCTATCCAACGAGGGACAAAGTCACCCTCACCAACTGAAGTGTCAACATCAAAATGGACGAAGTTTCAATTCGTCAACATCTAATCATGATCATAAGCGCACATTTGGAGGAAGAGAATAGGATGTCAGCTTTCGTTCTTCATCGCTTCAGTTAACAACATGGGTTTGATCAGAAATTACTTGCAAGGGAAGTGCCGAAAGTGTTTCAACCGACTGATGACGGATTGACTAATGGGTCTCGTCAGACAAATGACGAGTCGATAATCTCATCTCATCAGACAGATGACGAGTCGGTAATCTCATCTCATCATACAGATGACGAGTCGATAATCTCATCTCGTCAGACAGATGACGAGTCAATAATCTCATCTCGTTAGACGGGTGACAAGTCGATAATCTCATCTCGTCAAACGGATGACGAGTCGATAGGCTAACTCTAATGAATTTGGAAGCCTCGGTTCTAAATGGAAAAACGAGGGCCCCTAAAACAAGAAAAATACAAACTTTAACAATGAAATACTAATAGTCTAGACAATTCAATGAAATATACTACGTAAGTTTTATGATGTTTAAAGTACACAAATTAGAGAATCTAGAAGTTATATACCTTTTCGAATCTGAAAGAGTAAAGGGTCAGTTTAGTACTCAAAGTTGTATAAAAAGGGTCAAATAAGTCCTTACTGTCCGGCCGTCGCCATTTTGGGCGGTTCCCGGGAGAATTTTTTGATGAAATTTTTTTAGCATATTATTCATCAAATCTAGTTTACTTGTACTAAATTTCAGCTAAAACTTCAATCGGGAAGGCATTCAAATGAATTCTTGAAGATAACTGTGTTTTTAACTGCGCAGTTATCTTCAAGAATTCATTTGAATGTCTTCCCGATTGAAGTTTTAGATGAAATTTGGTATGAGTAAACTAGACTTAATGAATAAGATGCTCAAAAAATTTCGTCAAAAAATTCCACCGGGAACCGCTCCAAATGGCGACGACCAGGCAGAGCCTCCTATATAAAGACTTATTTGACTCTTTTATGCAACTTCGATTACCAAACTGACCTTTTACTCGAATCTGAAATAATACATAATATCTAGAAAATCAACATATAACTAATACTACATTCTAAATTTTTGGAGGCCTTCACAACAGTGGGCCCCCGGTGCCAAGCACCTATTGCACCTCCTAAAAGATGGTCATGCATTTTCAATACATCTTCATCTGCTTTCATGTGACTTGAATCTCAATATGGTATCAGTTTAGCCTAGCTTCCATAATTAAGATCTTTCCATTATTAGGATTTTCCCATCATTGAGAAAAAATTGTAACTTTTATCAAATGGTTACAACCTTTTTTTTCTTTTAAGATATTTTCTTCATGAAAGGATACCCCTCTGCCCCATTTTATTTAGTCAAATTTGATTAATTATATATTTTTACACTGTAATATTGATAATATGAAAAATGATATGGAAATATTTTTATTATAGGTATAATTGTAAAGTATGAATTTATTAATTTTCACATAAATATATTAGTTAAAATAATGAATCAAAGTTTATAATCGAAAAAGTCAAAAGATGATACGAAGGTAGTAATTAATACTCCCTTTGTCTCTATATAAAAGGCACACTCCTTTTTGGGTTGTCCTTATATAAAAGGCTCATTTCCCTTTTTGGCAAATAAAACAGTGCAAAACAGTGTCCAAACAATGTGAAACAGTGTTTCTCCTAAAGATGTGTGCAAAAGTAAATGAACCTTTTATATAGGGAGGGAGGGAGTAGTTATTAAAGGACATATTAAAGTATGTTTACAATTAGGTGTATTACACATTGATGAAAACCTTAATAAAAACTTTTGGTCTACTAAAAGCTAAGAGTCCCAATTAATAAAAACTTTCTTCTTATCAAAAACGCCCTTAAAAATTCGACTAGCTTAGCTAATTAGCTGGAGTGGTGGAGCTAGGCGGCATGCATAAGGTTGGCGGGGGAGAGGCCAGGTTGACATGAAGAGCTGGCACGTCATCCCCAACTAAAAGTGGCAGGTGGCGCCTCCCAGCCAACGTGTCACCTTCATGGGATGCCACCGCCTTCTCCTCTTCTCTATCTTATTCTGATCGATCATATTTAAAAACCTCCCCGCCGCGGCCATCTACTCGATCATTTACTACGTACATACCCTTTGATCTAATTAAGCACGCCGTTGAAATCCATCAGACCAACCATGGCAGCCATGTCAATCATGACCACCAGCAGGAACGCCATTTTCAACTTCTCCAAATCCCTTTCTCGAACCCCTTCTTCTCTCTACCCCAGACCCAAAGTCTCCAGAGTTTGCTTCTCCTCTGCCTCCACTCCCGAGGTACGTACATACGTATCAATTCAATCATTCCTTTTATATGTCATGAGTCCGTATGCATTTGTAGTGATGGATTAATTACTAGTAATTGAAGCAGGGCTTGCACGCGTCGGGGGATTACGGAAGGAGAGACAACGACAAGGGCTACGCCGGCAACAGGACCGTCGGAGATGCGGCGGAAGACATTGCCAACCGGACGAAGGAGAACACGAGAGAAGCGGCGGACAGAACCAAGGAGAAAACCCAAGAAATGGCGGGGAAGGCCAAGGGGAAAGCAGAGGACTTGAAGGAGAGAACAGAGGACGGGGCAGGGGAGGCCAAGGAGAGGGCCAAAGAAGGGGCGGGAAGGATGGCGGACAAGGCCAAAGAGTACGCCCACGAGACGAAGGAGACCACCAAGGAGGCGGCGGGGGCCACGGCGGAGATGACCAAGGAAGGGGCTAACAAGGCGGCGGGTACGGCCAAGGGCGTCGGTCAGAAGGCCAAGGAGACGGTGGAGGGTGCTCTGGGGGCGGTCAAGGAGACTGGTCAGAAAATAAAGGAAACGGTGGTGGGGAAAGCGGAGGAGGACCGCGACGATGGAGAGAAGAGGATTGACGAGCTGAAGAGACGCGCCGCCGGTGATAGGAAAGTGTGAAGGCCGGCCGGCGGCGGAGGCGTGGATTGTACTTGTTTTTAATTAATTAGAGCCGGCCGGAAGCAAATATGTATAATAATAAATGGGAAACGTATATACCTGTATTGCTTCTTTATTTATATACTTCGTATATGTGTGTTTAATTCTCCTCCACCATCAGTGAATCACCATCATAACGTATTTTCTTTTGTTACTTGAAGCAAATATCAGTCTTATTTCTACAATAAATTATAATTCTCTTTGGAAACACTAATTGGTCTCGTCTAATTTAATGAATTGAACTGTTTTCACATCCAATCCAAATCATATCAGACAAACGATAACAGCATAACTAATGCACTTGCACTTCAATATATCAAACTGGATTTATAAAATCGGAAAACGTATGGGAGGACATTCATACAATCAGCTACTTCCTCGGCTTAGGGGAGTTAGGGCCTACTCTTACTTCCGTATTTTGGGTATTGGATATTGCGTGGAACTAATTTAAAATTTTAAGATATTAAACAAGTACAATTAAAACCTTGAATTAAAATTTAGAAGGGGTTATGTGTGGATTACAAATGCTGACTCCAAGTGCAAATGTGCAATTAGAACCTTGAATTAGAGAGATCGTGGATGCCCTTGATTACAAATGATGTTGGGTCTTCACGGTATCATGACTATCATCTACTTCCTTAGCTTTTTTTTTGACAGTATCTACTTCCTTAGCTTAAATGTGTTTTAAATTGCGTTTTATCTTGATTTCTTCATAAACAATATTTGACAGGGAGTAATTCATACAAAGTATTTTGTCTTTGCAGACATTAAATTGTTTGTTTTGAGTTCATAAACAATATTTGACACATAAGATGATGAAGATCGATGGTTATGATGATTTAAGAACAGTTTGGAGTATATGCTACTCCAATTCATTACACATAACAGTCGACTGTCATTACAAGAAGAAAATAGAGAACGCCCTGCTCTGCTATTTGTATGTATTACATTGCTCATCACTCATTAACTATTCTACATGTAATTTGGCCTTGCCAACTTCTCTCATATGCTCACAGATGACTGGTGGATGTCTGTTGGATCCTGTCACAACTTGCTGGAAATATATTTACTTGGAGAACTTTCAGACTTGCCAAGATGGGAGTCCTTATTCAGCAATTCACTTCTGTCGGCCATAAACTTAGCAAACCGGGAACCCTTTAAAACCTTCCCACCACCGTCTTCAGGAAGTAGCGGTGGATTAAGCAAAGAGGGGCTGGGTTTGGACGAAAAAGGAGGCGCCGATTCCCACAAAGCAGATAGCTGCTCGTTTGGTTCGTCAAGATATTTCAAAAGTGACAAGTCACGCATATCTGTTAGGAGAGAATAGACCAGAAAATATGATTGAGACAGAGAGAAACAATATCCTTCTCCTCTTTCATTTTCTGAAAAAGGAGAACCCTGCCATGCATGATGGTTAAAAATTGAGAACCTAACAACAGAGATTTGGTCAATAATATCAAAATACCTTCAGAGAACTTAAAGATAGGCTTTAAGGCTGCACAGGGGATGCTGAAGTTCAAACAAGGTATAATAGTCCCTCCACCATGTCTGGAATTGCTATGCAAACATTGAGTACCAAAGATTTTTTAAAAGATCACAACAACACCAAACAACAACAATAACAATAATAATCTTATACGAATAATGTGATGGTCAACATAGTCAAGAACCTCAGGAGCAAACAAAAAAGCAGACGATAATAATGGTATTGTCTGCATGCATGCCAATGGTGATATTACAATTGCAAGTTACGAATATATAAAAAATTGAAGTCAGAAATTACTTGCAATACTAGAGTATAGTGCGAAAATACAAAAAAAATGAAGTCAGAAATTACTGTTGTTTGCATCTATACTCAACGTTAATGATGCAGACCATTCATATTCGTTCCAAAGACATGAATAAGGAATGCAGTCATGCACTCATAATCAACCTAGATAGAATCCACTCACTCCATTCCTATTTATCCATCTATATTGGCCAATTTTCCTTGTTCCTTTACATCTGTCGATCTATATAATCTATACATACATACGTAGTACAACGTATATTTTTCCCAATAACCCTCTTTCCCAAGAAGAGCATACATGGAAGGGAAGATTTTAATGAGGGCGTTTTAGATCAAGTATTAAAGGTTTGGATTAATCCATACCTGGTGACAAGGCCAATCATGAGCCCGTCAGAATTAACAACTGCTCCACCACTACTGCCGGAATGTACTGCTGCTGTTGTTTCGAGCAATGCAGGAAAATGTCTTTCTCGAGTGATCTGGTAGTGCACAGACCTCTTCGCTTCAACTACCTTAGCTATCACCCCAGAGCAAGCAGATGGAAGCAATTCTAAAACAAGACAGAAGTAAATATTACAAATATATTATAAAGACTGTATATAATGGCCTTGTTTGGCACATATGCCGTTAGCCAATAGCTGATTGTATTAGACTAGTTTGGCAAACCAAACTCATCAGCTAGTTGATAATTCTGTTAAGCGCTTTAGTTAATGACCTCGTCCAAGGGCATGAACGAGAAGAACCACAGGTAAAAGATGAATTATTCGAAGCTATTTTAATTGCCTGGGAAGAGATGAACGAGACTAGAGGCTTAAACGATAATTACTTTTCCCCGACCTAGTCAAGAGAACTCATAATCAACCAAAAGCCGTTTATTAAAATTACTGGGATCCCCTTAAATAGAAATTAAGGGTTTCCTAAAAACAATTAGGAAACTAGTTGCTAATTCAAACATAACTCTAATAATGAAATATTAGGAAACTAGGTGCTAATTCAAACATAACTCTAATAATGAAATACTAATTAAAGAAGGACTAATTAAAATAATCCTAATACTAATATGACTCTCATGACTTTCTTAATCTTTCCCTTAGCCACTTGGATTGCTAATCATCTCTGCTCCTCTTTGTCCCCTGCGTGCATATGTGCGACCAAAGAATTGATCGCTAACAAATTCGTAAGTCAAATAGTATTAAGAAGATAATTTATAACTAATAGCTGATAAGCTAGCTAATCTCATAAACTGTTTGGTAGAAAGTAGCTGATAGGGATAGGTTAGACATACAAAATGACGTAAAAGGATACAATTGAAACAATTTATAAATAAAAATGACGCTAAATGGAAACCTATATATATTGAATATAAAGACATATCATTAGCCTTATTAAAAGAGCTGATTCATGGGCTTATAGATAAGCTCGAGCTTTTTAAATAAGTTGGCTCAATTAAACAAAACATATTTAAATAGCGCTCTTAAAAAACCAATTGCTGGATTATGGCATTCCAAACATAGCCCTAGATGTTTTAACCAGCTCAGTGCGATAAAAAATCTATCTTGTTGGGAGTAGAGCTTTTTGTAAAACATCTTTTTGGAAACAAAAAAACTCTTCCAATATTATGTATACCGAACAGAAAATCTCCAAAGAGCTGATAGCAAACATGCCCAATATTCTTTTTAGAGGGACACAGGGTGAAAGATCTTATTTACCACATCGCGGTCCAAACAGACCATGACCAAGAATGTAAGCCTTTGATCCAGGGGAAGGGGCTGTGAAGTCCACAGAAATGGGGCAAAGCTGATGCGGAACGAAATCAAGTTGCAGTAGTGCAACATCTAGTGGTCCTTTTGAAACATGAATAACCTTTGCATCAGTCCATACCCATGGATCCATAGAATCCAAGCGTACACGTATACTTCTGTGGTCTTTTCTTCCCAGGTTGATACTAAACCCTATTTCAACTTTATCACCACCTGGACATTTGCTTTGATCATAGGGCGTAACAGCAAACTCGGGTGTTGCCTTATGTGTTTCGCCAATTGTGGGTGTCTTTCTGAATCTCCATGGCTCAAGAAGGTGAGCATTTGTAAGAATAAGGCCTTGTTTGTTGAGCAAAATACCAGAAGCCCATGCCCCATCATTCACAGTGATGAGACAAACAGAAGCTGTTGCCTTCTCAATTTTGGATGAAGATGGAGGACCTGAAGGGATACATCCATGAATGTCATTTGTGGATCCAGTGTTAATACTCGAGATTCCTTTGTCATGGTGCGTGCCATTCTGAATACATTGAGGATGATTCTGCAGCAGATCACAGCAGGCAGATGCAATAGCTTCCCATGGGATAATCATCTGTCACCCAAAGTTTAAAAAGTATACCAAACAATTGCTTCCTATACGTAACCAAAAAAAGAATAAGAAAAAACCCTGCAGCAAATTTGCTTATGCAATCCTTCCCATAAAAACGTATACATATTAGGACCTGTTTGGGTTTTATTCCAAACATACTTTTCTCTCGAAAAACACTTATTTTGTTTCAAACCAAAGTTCTTTTTGTAGATAGGTTTAACTAAAAGCGTTTTTGATACTTCAGAAGCACATCTGAATGGACACTTAGGCTCTGTTTGGAAGCCTTATTTGTCTTAATCTGCTTATTTGCAGGCTAAGTAGCTTTTGACTAACTTATATGGCTGAAATGGATGTCACCCAACACTTTTCCTTGCAGAAAGTTCATTAGACCAGCCATATCAGGCAAAAAACCCTTACCAGACAGGCGCTAAGTGTCAAATTTTCTGAAAGAATAGGGGCCCCTACATTTTCTGAAAGAATAGGGCCCCTAAATTTTCTGTAATTTACAAAGAGAACAAAACCTCATATGCTTACATGAATTTCGGTCGCGGTAGTCATCTGTTTTAATGGTCTTGTAAGAATGCCTATAAGTTCTGCACGTTCCCCAAAAACTGGGCTTCCTTCCATTCCTAAGATAATATGAGTCAGAATAGAATCAAAGTTACACTCCCTCTGTCCTTTTTGCGTAAGATACAATTTCCTTTTTAGGTTGTCCCAAGAATATGAAGTTATTATGAACACTTTCCTAAATTGAACTCCACTAACTTTTTACTTTCCCACATTTTTTCAATTCCAGAAACCGCCAAAAAAGGTGGGATAAGAGCTGGGAAACTCCTATCGAGTCTTATTAAAAATAAAATATCGTTTATTTTCCCACTTTATACTCTTATCTATCATTTATACTTTTATTTTTTGTGGACCTATACTACTTTTTCTTACTTTCAAGAGGCTACAAATGTAAAAGGGCAACATCATTTACTTTCTTAATATCTGTGCAAAACCCAATCGTATCTTATATTT